TATATATATATATATATATATATATATATATTGGCGAACCACACCACCCGGGTTCGATCCTCAGAAGGAGCAACTTTGGGGGAATTTTAAGAGAGTTAAGCGTGCTGGCCATGGAGTAGCAGAAATGATGGGTGACCCCCTGGGAAGTGTTTGCAGATTTATGGGGTTGGGCTTTAGATTGGGCTTTCATTGGACTTCTTATAGTGGGCTATCTGCCTCGGGTGTTTAACGGGCCCCAGGGTAGTCACGAGGTTAACGGACCTAGGGCCCCCTGCTTGTAACCGACCGTTCCAATAATATTAATAAAAAAATTTTAAAAAAAAAAAAAAAATATATATATATATATATATATATATATATATATATATATATATATATATATATATATATATCTGTGTTTGTGTGTAAACGAGAGTTCATTAGTTGTAGTGGAGACACGTGGGGTATGACATGGCAAAATTTATATCTACATGGCATAGTGTCATCATTTTATTGGTCCACATGGCATTTATTAGTTTATTTTTTTAAAGATTGTTCATGATTATTTCTTTTAATTACCATAAAATTCTATTTATAATACTTTTCATATTCTAATTATTATATTAATATGTCCTACATCATTTTAAAATATATTTTTTGTGTATATAAACTTTAAAATAAACTTTATTAAATTTTTTGGTTATATAAACTTTGGTCCGAGATAAAATATGTTTTGATATTCAATATCACAATATGGATAAATCTCATAGAGATATATCCAATATGTTGATTTTATTTGTGATCTTGATTGGGAACGAGAGTAAAGACCCAAACAATGAGTAAATAAAGAATTTGATTTATGACGTGAACTTTTGAGATGATTTATTGAAATCAATCATGAGAATAAATGATGTGAATTAAATGTGAGAACCTTTTTAAATAAAGGTCAAATAAATCAATTTTGACTCTGTTAAAGTCAAACACCCAAAAATATAATGCTAGAAAAAAATATTCCAAATAAATATAAAAATTATATCATTGGATAGAGTTTGACAGTCTGGTCCAACGGTCTAAACAGATTTTAATTTAGAGAAAGTTGGACCAAAAAGTGTACCCCGACTAGGACCAAATTAGTCTCAATCAGGAAGAGCCGTGTAAAGGATTTCCTAATCACCATCTTGCGCACTAAGAAGGATTCGCCGATCACAACATCACCAAGCTTGGCAGCATCCCTCATTCTTCTCCTGTATAAGCATCAACAACTCTCTCCATTTCTCACCAAATCATAAAATTCTTTCTCCCATTATGTTTTTGAAAGTATGAGGAATGTTATGGTGCTGTCCATAGAGTGAGAGGTCACCGGAGTTAGCCACAAATCTCACCAAAAGTTTCATCGAAAAATTTCCAAAACCTCTGTTTAAGCTCGAGGTAAGCCCTTAAATATATCTAGTGATTAGAATGTTCGTATAGATCATTTCTACATTCATAAACGATCGTTTGGTTGAGTTTTGTGTTTGACATGCTTGAAGAACCAAGAATCACAAACCTTGAAATTGTTGTTAGAAACTACGAACTAATAATACCAAAATGATATTTGAACTTTGGAGAACATTTCTATATAGCTTAATTGAAGTTTGGTGATGAAAAATGAAGTTTTCGAAAATTGGCCGGAGGTTGAAGATGACACTATTCAAAACTACGCACAGAGCGGTAGCGAGCTATCGTTAGGATGGTACCTTGGTATAGCCGGCACGTTAGGCCATACGCCAAGACAGTAGGCTAGCTACCGTTTCCTTCAAGAAAAATGTCTTGCTTTGGTGGTACCTGAAGTACAACGGTACCCCGTACCGTCTGGGTGATACCGAGGTACCTTAAGGGGTACCGTCTGACCCGAAAATTTTCTAGAAACTCGATTTTTGAAATATGAAATCCTATTTTTGATACCATTCAGTTATGATCAACATAAAAAAGAGTTATGGGGATAAATATGATGTTTTCAAAATCCAAGAACCTTGTTTGATGCATGACAGTAAGCTAAGGTGTTAACACTCGACGCTAGGCCGCTAATTGTTATCGGATATCATGATGATTATTATGTTGGCCTTGAATTCCGAAACACACCACGTTTTGGTGTGTCAAATAAGTCTTCCAAGTACTAACCTTTTTGCAGGCTTAAACGAGACACCCAAACCTCTCCTAACTTGGTTGATTTCACCAAGAATTGATTCACTCGAGTTTAGATTTGAAAAATGTAAGAGCTTGATAAAACAATGTTACACTTATGCCCTTGCACTTAAAAATTATTTTCTAAAAGTTTTAAATATTATTTTGATTGGGTCATTTTTCAAAATCGAGAATAAAATCAATTTTGGGTTAGAACCAGGCCAAACGGTACCCCATACCGTGCTAACGGTACCTAGCTACCGTTAGACCTATCGGTACAGCACGTAGGTACTGCCCGACCAAATCTGGCTAAGTATCAAAGGGACTCAAGCGGTACCCCCTACCGTAACTTTGGATAGGTACTAGCCGTTTGAATCCTAGCTCAGGTAAGAACCCACTATAGCGGTACCCCCTACCGTAACCCTAGGTAGGTACCGACGGTTAGATCCTTACCTCAGCTTGGAATGAACTATAGCGGTACCCCCTACCGTAGACCTTGGTAGGTACCAGCTGTTACAAGTCTAGCTCAGCCCAAAATGAACTGTGGCGGTACCCCTTACCGTTGTAACGATACCTAGGTACCGCCTGAGGCTTAGGAAACCCAAGTTTGAACTTTCATACGGGACCTGTCACAGTACCCTATACCGTCAGTAACGGTACCCCCTACCGTTATGGTACCTGACTACTGTTACAGGTACCGGAGCCGTTGGGTTACTATTCCTGATTGATTTAATTTATCCCAATCAACCTAATTTGTCTCCCAACGTCTCTTTATCTGTTCAAACCCATTTTAGAATTCCTAAACACTATAAATACACCTCCTAAGCCTCTTCGAAACACACAACACCCTTCAACATACATTACATTTTATATTCTCATTCTTGATCATTTGTGTTTTCTAAGCTTTAAAGTTCCTGATTTTTCCTTCTCTTTTGAATTTAAAGCTTTGATATTCATATTTTAAACACACACACACCAAGGGCTTTTGTGTTTCATCTTCTTATAGTGCTTATAGGAAATTGTTGTTGTTTTCATATCTTGTTCTTCTCCTACGCAATCACATTATATATTACTTTGGTAGAGAAGCAACAAACGATTTTCATTATTTTGTAAAAGGCGTGGATAGCCTTTAAATCCACTTTGTAAGGTTGAAGATAGCCTTTAAATCTTCAGTGTAAACGGTCGAGATAGCCGATATAAAATGTTGTTGCTTATTGGCAAGGGTTGTTTGCCAAACCTCGTTTGGATCTTCTTAGTGAAGCCAAACAAGTTAGTGGAGGTTAAATCATTGACGAGGAGCCTCGAGGTACTGGAGTAGGGAGTTCCCGAACCAGTATAAAATCGATTGTGTCGTACTTCTCTCTTTTATATTTTTCTTGCTCCTTTTCCGATACTACTTTGCGCCTAAGTTTTTATTTTTACGAAAAATTTTCAAACAACCTAATTCACCCCCTCTTAGGGTGTATACCGACTTTCATATTATTGATGATTGTTTATGATCAAATTTTGATGAATATTTTGATTAAAAATATGATTATGAATGATTGAACCATGTTTACAAATGAATGTATTGATGATTATGTAAATGATATATTTTGTTAATGGTATCTAGAAGAACTCTAAGATATACCCATAGGATTAATTTAGTTCATTGTTGTTGATTATCAAGGATATCTGAAAAAACTCTAAGATATACCTTTATGACCAATTTAGCAATCAGATGTTAAAACGTACATACGGGATCCACAAACCAAACTTGAGTATTTCTTGTTTGGGGATATCACCCACCCGACAGTAAGCAAGTCCACTGTTCGGTTCGAGCAAATCCATAAGACTCGTAGGATGGATCATCTATTCTTGTGTTCTGCCTTAAACTAATTATATTTTAAGAGCCCGGTTAGAAATATTGCCTTAGACTAAGAATAGTATAAGAGCTTTGTTATCAAAATGATTTGGCTTTAGATTAAGAATAGTTTAATGTTGCTATTAACAGTATGAATACTGAATTTTGAACATGTCATAAAATGACCCAAATTGAATATTGTATAATGAATGCTTCAACTAAATATTATGTGCATGATATCAAATGATTTGATTAGGAATTTAGATTCAATTTATATGGATGTTCGATGCATTAAATATCCTTACTCAACTTCATCGCTGAGCGTGTAGTAGGTTTTATTTTCTATACGCAGGAGAACAGAAAGAATGAAGTGACGTATTCCTGGCGGCAGATTCGGCGAGATTATCGATATGGATGTGACGATTTGAATTATGATTTCAAAATACATCAAACAATTATTTATGATTGTTATTTTTTAATTTTCTTCTGTATTATTAAACACTCCATATTATTACTGTTTATGTTGTGAATGCTATTTAGAATATATGAAAATGTTTTGAATGTTTACATATACCAAGTTTATACTTTAGTCCGAAAGGGGCAGTAGACGTGGACGGATTAGGGTGTTACAACATCGATGTTGAGAAACTAACATCGCTGTTATGCCCCGAAACGCGGCTTATCATAATTAATTAATCAATAATAATTAATGAATTATTAAGACAAACTCGGTGGAATTATGAAATATTCTTCATTTCATAAAAAGGTTTATACTGTTGTGTAGGATTTGACGAAACGAATCCAACGGTTCAAATGGATTTGGAGCCCGTGGCCCCAGAAAGCGTGTTTTGGACCAGGTACGTTAAATTAATACGGAGTCCAATCCCCCAAACCTTTAAATAAACCCCTTACACGCCTAAACTCCTTTTACGCCTCCCCCATATTACGTAACTTACTCCCTTCCATTCTCTCGTCTCTCGTTGCTGACCGGAAACAACAGGATAAGAACGTAGTAGTGGCGCGAGGAAGAAAGAAGAGGAAAAGAAGAGGAAAAGAAGAAGAAAAGAAGAAGAAAAGAAGGAAGAAGAAGGGCTCATCGTCGCGTTCCCCCACCTGTGGTATTATGGATAGTATATTTGTCATATTCGAGGTGAGTATGTGGACATCTAACGCATGGTAACCACTTGGTTGATTCGGACCTACAAACCAATGATAAAAACTCAAAAGCCATTTGGTAAAAAAGAATGGCGACAACTAATGCCGAAAACTGAACGCCAAACGTCGAATGTAGCGGTTTTGGTTTGGGTGACAACCAAGTATTTTTGGCAGATGAAAAATTTTTTTGGAATAGGTTTTAATGATACATGCAAATTATTTTAAAGTTTTAATGATCACATTAAGACCAACACAATTCTAGTTTTAAGTCTTCGTCTTCGGTCTTGGTTCTTGGTTTCACTTATCTTTTGACAATGTTTTTTCTCTGCCTTGAGTTTTTTCAATGTGTCTTTTTCATATCCTCAGTGGTTTGGCATTTATCAGAACCTGTCAAAAACGAACATCAGTTTAGTACAGCGTAATTGTGTTAGAAAATAGACCCAACGCTAGAGGGGGGGGGGGGTGAATAGCGTTTAAAACAAAATCGCAGGAAATTAAATACGAGAGCGATAAAGTAAAGAGCATAAGGAAGGAGCACATCGAATTTTATCCTGGTTCACCACAACGTGTGGCTAATCCATCCTTTCGAGAGACTCTCTCGAGTTACACTAACTCTGTTGAGCTTAAAGGTGCTCAACAAACCGATACAACTTGAGAACTCGAGTCACACGAGCCTCAACGCCTTTGCTTGGAGATACCACACTCTAAGACTTCTCACGAAGGAACGAAAGACTTCCTTCGAGTTTACAACAAGGGAACAACCTCCCTTAAAGTGTATGGAAACACTTAAACACTCAGGAATAAAACTCTCACAAAGAGTAGGTATGAGTGAACTAGTAAACGCTCACAAAGAGTACGACAATTTCTTCAAGAATTGGCTCTCAAATAGCTAAGAAAAATAGGAATGCTTATGCAATGAAAGAGTATTGAAATGTTGAAGAATTGTGTGTAAAATGAGAGGATTTGGTTGCCATTTTATAGTCTAAAATGGGATAAACCCGTTGCTAGAATTTCCAACAGGATGAAGACAAATTTTTCAGAGATGCAGGGTGATAGTCGATTGTCTAGCCTTGATAATCAATTATCAAAAGATTCCCTGTCCAAAAAATATAAAATTCTATCCGTTGGAGGGCAACGGTAACACTGATAGTCGATTGTCAAGACCTGTCACTCGACTATCAGGCCTCTCAGAAGTTACTAGGTTTGAAGTTAAACGCAGACAGTCGAGTGCCAAAACATGTCAGTTGACTATCAGATGGTTCTGAACGTAATGTTCAGAATCTGCAGCAGCCAACAGTCGATTGACATAAACTGTTAGTCGATTATCAGCTGGCAAAAACCATCCAGCGAGAAACTTAACCCGAAAAGCCGAGGTCCAAAACCGAAGTGTTCCCAATAGTAAAAACCAAGTTTGAAAAACATTGTATATGGTATAAAATAGTGAAACCAAGACTTGTTTGATAAAAACCAAGTCTTCGAGGTCGTTTGTCACGTGTGTACGGTTTTGACCGTTTTTCACGTGTTAGACCGATTGACCAAGATACAAAAGTGGTTTTTATAAAATAATTATTTGGGAATCTTTTAAATATGCCCAGAGGTAAAAAATGAGGTTTAAAATATTGAAAACCACCGAGTTGGTTCGGACACTGAAAACCGAACGCCGAACCCCGAATGCAGGACGCTGAACGCCGACCAAGGTGGTTTTTGGTCTGAGCAAGGACCAGGGTTTTTAATACAATAAAACTTTTAAAAACATTTATTTTGATGCACAAAAACGTTTTATGATTTTGTAAAATTATTTTGACTCTTTGAGAACCGAGACTTGAATTGATTGTCGGTTTTGATCACAATAAGACCGACTCGACTAAGTCTTCAATTCTTGATCTTTTTCCTTGAGTCTTTTGGTCTTGTTCCATGCCATTCTTCACACCTCGATTCGTTCAACGAAACTCTTCATATCCACGACGGTTTGGCAATTATCAAAACCTGTCAGAAATGAACACGACTTTAGTTTAACGTAATAAAAAGTGTGTTCCAACAATTTCCCTCTTTTTGATAATGGCAAACAAGACGGGGATATGCAAAGGGTTTCGATATTTTTGAAAAAAATTCCCCTTTAAGATATGCATAGCCCTTATCTTCCCTCTTTTGACATTAACAAAAAAATTTAAAGACCATAAAGATTTTTAATTTATTAAAATAAGAGAAACAGCGGAGTACATAACGGAAGCAAATTTGAAAAAAGCATATAAATAAAGAAGAGAAGAGAAAAGAGCTAGAGCTCTAGAAATCCGGTGAAAGATCATCGAGGAGTTGTTCTTCGTCGATGTCTTCCTCTTCATCATCATCATCATCATCATCATCTTCTTCTTCTTCTTCGGCTTCCTCTTCCTCTTCTTCCTCATTGTTCACCTCTTCTTCTCTACCAACGTTGTTAGTCCCGCTTGGTTCACCCCCGAGATTCGGTGGAGGAGCGTAGGGGACCATTTGAGCGTAAGGGTAGTTGACAAAGTCAAAATACCCGTGGAGCTCACGGCTCAAAATGTTGACGTTTTGGGCCGTTTGGGAGACGTTGGTAGTGGCGGTCAAGGCGGCCATTTGCTCGGCTAGAGATGGGGTGTTTGAAGAAGTATCCCTTGGTTGGCGTCGTGGACGAGGCTGTCGAAACGGAGTCTCGTCGGTGCCCGAGTGAAAGGAGGATTCATCAATCTCCCAATGCTTTGTCCCCTTTATCTTCGGCCCAACGTCGGTCTTGATGTTGTACTCATCAAGAATCGCCATGATGAGGATGGCGCAGGGGAGCGATCGATCGTCGGAGGTGGCGCTAAACATGTGAGTCATCACAAATTTACACCAATTAATGTTGGCATTGTGAATCATCGCATGAAGCGTTTTGGTGTCCTTTTGGGAGAGAGCGGTGTGATTGTACTTCCATGGCTTGAGGATCCGTGTCAAAACATAGAATATGAATCGAAACACAGGATTCATGGAAGTAATCGTCGGGCTTCGCTGTTGGGGAGTGGGGGCAAAATTCCGGATTCCCACTTCCTCCAAGAGGGCGGTTTCGTTGAACCGTGCCCCTCCCTCTCCGACGTAGAGACCGAGATCTTCTCCATTCTGACGAAGCCCGGTGAGTATTTGAATGTTCTCCTCATTCAAATAGATATCCACCCCGTTGACGTTTGAAATCAACGCTCCGTCCTCATCCTTTTTCAGATTCGAGTAGAAAGCTCGAACAAGAAAAGGTTGATAGTGAGCCTTCTTGATGTAGAGGAGATCGATGAAGTTTCCTCGTTCGAGGATAACTCGTGCCTCGCGTGGAATTGAATCGTGAATGAAGCGGGCGGTGGAGAACCAGGGAGGGAGAATTTCCCGGTGCTCAAACTTCTCCGAGAACCGCGTCGTCTCTGCGCGGTCGTTGAACCAAAGGAACGACCCATCGAGGTACTTGTGCGCCGGTGGTGGAGCAGGAGCCGAGGAGGAAGCGACGTTCTTCCCGGTGCGCGATCTCTTTCTTTGACCTCCTGCGATGTCAACAAGAGAGAGCAAAGAAAATTTGCAGGAATTTTGGCTAAAAATGAAGAAAAGGATGATAGATCATGAATATATAATGAGAATGTGATTTGAATGAGTATAAAATGAATAGAGATCACCATTATATAGTTGAAGAGGCTTGAGATCCGTTTAGGGAGTCAAAGGATAACTTTAATGCTGTTCAAACGGTTCAGAAACGGTCAAATTTTTGAAAAATTGCCATTGTCAGTCGATTTACACAGCCTGTAACTCGACTATCTAAGACCTCAGATTTTCCGCTGAAGGATCTGCGAACTCTGTTAGTCGAGTGACATAAAGTTGTTACTCGACTGACACTGGTTTGCTCCTGAAGTTTGAAAAGTTCAGCGGCCCCTGTTAGTCAAATATCAGAATTGCGATACTCGATTGTTTGGGCTCTCAGCTCAATTTCCCCAAAACTTCTGCGGGCTATGATAGTCGAGTATCACCAGTCTGTAACTCGATTTACACTTTGTCTGGAGACCAGAAATCGATTTACTTTGTTTCCCCTGACTTTAACGCCTACAATGAAAACATTTGGTACCCAATTCTTGATCTTTTGGGTCCTTGAGGATTAGTAACATGACTTTTTAAACTAATAAACACACGCACCCATAGCCACACACGCCAAAGCACACACACACACGTACGATATTCACGTTTAAGTGTTACCTTGACCAACTTGTGGTCTTTGGGTTGGCGGGTTCGAGTCTACTTGAACCGAGTGCCTATACCTTGGTTGGATTTGTGTGGGTTCCGGAAGTGGTATGTGAATCTTCTTCTTTTCATCATAATAAAAGAAGTAATATGGTTTCTTTTGTGTTGATTCCTACGAGGATCGCTTAGAACTCGAATATCCCTTTTCAAAGGATCTCGTTAGGTTAGTCCTATGAAAAGTGTGTGTTTTGTTATTCGTGCAATGCCTATGTCTATTAAAACACACGGGTGCTATATGACCTACCCTATGGCAATAATGGCATACTACATTTGGATTGTGCATTCTCCTAGGTTGATAATAATTGCTAGGTTTTCTATATTGATTGATCCTAGTTTGAGAAAAGTTTTGCTTATGCATATTCATAAAATTGTTTCTAGGTTCTCTAACATGACCACAGTTTATCCTAGTGTTCTTTCCAGGTGGTCTAGTGTTTCTAGTTGTTCTAGGTTGTCTATTATTGCTCATTTTATTTCTCCTAAGTTGAGCCTTAGGTTGTTTAGGTGGTTGCTCAACTTTTTCTTAATTATTGTTAATTTCATTTTCAAACCCTAAGCCATGTTTAGTAAGTTGCAAATTATCAAGAACATCATTAAGATTTTTATGAGAAACACCAAACTTCTTCAAGGTTCCTTCAAGTTTTGCAACTTGTTACTTAAGTGATGTACAAGAACAACATTTGGAACTTTCCGGTTTGTCGGTGCTTCTTTTCCCAAAAAACTTATTTTCTTATTTAAGTTTTTCATTATGTTTATCAACTTCCTTCTCCATGGAAGTAAGTTGTTTCTTCAAATCCTTGTTAATTTTAGAAGCGTTGACATATTCATCATAAAGTTCATTGAAGGCTTCTTGAACATCATCAAAGGTGTAGGAATCTTTAGAAGTGGTACATACCTCTTCCGGTGGTTCCTCGTGTGCCATGAGGCAAAGATTGACACTTTCGTTTTCTTCGCCTTCCGATGATTCATCGCCGGAATCACCTCCCCACGAGATGTAAGCTCGGTGCTTCTTGAATGGTTTCTTCTTATTCTTGGCATTTGGGCATTTTGGTTTTATATGCCCAACTTCTCCACACCCATAGCATTTGGGTGGTTCTCCTTTCTTCTTTCCTTTTCATTCAAACTCCTTGCGCATGAACTTATGGAATTTCTTAAGCACGACCCCAAACTCGTCTTTGTCACTCGAGTCCTCCACATCACGTTCTTGACTTGTGGACGCCTTGAGTGCAATTCCATTCTTCTTTTGTTCACCTAAAGAGGGGTAAAGAATGGTAGACGCATAGGTTTTGAGGTTACCTCTAAGCCCGTCAATGGTGACACTGGTGATGCCGATGGATTCTTGGATAGCATCGGCTTTGGAGCGCCATTCCGGTGTGAGACTCCGCAGGATTTTTCTCACAAGCTCCTTGTCCGTGTATGTCTTCTTGAGAGCATGAAGATCGTTTACGATTTTTGAAAATCATTCAAACATATCGTCGATTTTCTCGTTCTCCTTCATACGAAATAGTTCATACTCATGGGTTAGAAAATCTATCTTAGCTTCTCGGACTTGATCCGTACCTTCATATGTAATTTCTAGCTTGTCCCACATTTCCTTGGCGGCAGAACAACAAGAAATCTTCCGGTAGTCATCCGGGTTTACGGCACAATAGATGATGTTGATAGCCTTGGCGTTGTTTTCTATCTTCTTGATATCCCGCTCATCGTACTCATCTTCGGTTTTGTGCACGATGGTTTCCCCAACTTTCTTTGTGGGTACTTCTTCACCATTTTTAATTATTCTCCACAAAAGAAAGTTGTTGCATTGAATAAAAATCCTCATCCGCTCTTTTTAATATGTATAATTTGTTCCATCAAATAACGGTGGCCTCGTAGTAGATTGACCTTAACCTATTCCTGCGTAAAATTTTTGAGTAGAAGCCATTGATCGTTTCTCTCAAATGGTTAAGTCTTTCAGAGAGTATGGCTCCGATACCAATTGTTAGAAAATAGGCCCAACGCTAGAGGGGGGGTGAATAGCGTTTAAAACAAAATCGCAGGAAATTAAAAACGAGAGCGATAAAGTAAAGAGCGTAAGGAAGGAGCACATCGAATTTTATCCTGGTTCACCACAACGTGTGGCTAATCCATCCTTTCGAGAGACTCTCTCGAGTTACACTAACTCTGTTAAGCTTAAAGGTGCTCAACAAACCGATACAACTTGAGAACTCAAGTCACACGAGCCTCAACGCCTTTGCTTGGAGATACCGCACTCTAAGACTTCTCACGAAGGAACGAAAGACTTCCTTAGAGTTTACAACAAGGGAACAACCTCCCTTAAAGTGTATGGAAACACTTAAACACTCAGGAATAAAACTCTCACAAAGAGTAGATATGAGTGAACTAGTAAACGCTCACAAAGAGTACGACAATTTCTTCAAGAATTGGCTCTCAAATAGCTAAGAAAAATAGGAATGCTTATGCAATGAAAGAGTATTGAAATGTTGAAGAATTGTGTGTAAAATGAGAGGATTTGGTTGCCATTTTATAGCCTAAAATGGGATAAACCCGTTGCTAGAATTTCCAACAGGATGAAGACAAATTTTTCAGAGATGCAGGGTGATAGTCGATTGTCTAGCCTTGATAATCGATTATCAAAAGATTCCCTGTCCAAAAATATAAAATTCTATCCGTTGGAGGGCAACGGTAACACTGATAGTCGATTGTCAAGACCTGTCACTCGACTATCAAGCCTCTCAGAAGTTACTAGGTTTGAAGTTAAACGCAGAGAGTCGAGTGACAAAACATGTCAGTCGACTATCTGATGGTTCTGAGCTTAATGTTCAGAATCTGCAGCAGCCAATAGTCGATTGACATAAACTGTCAGTCGATTATCAGCTCGCAAAAACCATCCAGCGAGAAACTTAACCCGAAAAGCCGAGGTCCAAAACCGGAGTGTTCCCAATAGTAAAAACCAAACTTGAAAAACATTGTATATGGTATAAAATAGTGAAACCAAGACTTGTTTGATAAAAACCAAGTCTTCGAGGTCGTTTGTCACGTGTGTACGGTTTTGACCGTTTTTCACGTGTTAGACCGATTGACCAAGATACAAAAGTGGTTTTTTAAAAATAATTATTTGGGAACCTTTTAAACATGCCCAGAAGTAAAAAATGAGGTTTAAAATATTGAAAACCACTGAGTTGGTTTGGACGCCGAAAACCGAATGCTGAACCCCGAATGCCGGACGCCGAACGCCGACCGAGGTGGTTTTTGGTCTGGGCAAGGACCAGGGTTTTTAATACAATAAAACTTTTAAAAACGTTTATTTTGATGCACAAAAACGTTTTATGATTTTGTAAAATTATTTTGACTCTTTGAGAACCGAGACTTGAATTGATTGTCGGTTTTGATCACAATAAGACCGACTCGACTAAGTCTTCAATTCTTGATCTATGTCCTTGAGTTTTTTTGTCTTGTTCCATGCCATTCTTCACGCCTCGATTCGTTCAATGAAACTCTTCATATCCACGGCGGTTTGGCAATTATCAAAACCTGTCAGAAATGAACACGACTTTAGTTTAACGTAATAAAAAGTGTGTTCCAACAAATTGTAAAGTGTGTTTTAACAATTTCCCCTTTTTGATAATGGAAAATAAGATTGGGATATGCATAAGAAGGATGGTTTTGTATGTTTGAAAAGTTTATAAATGTTCCCCCTTTGTTTATGCTTTATAAAATGTTTTTAGAAGCATTCCCCTTACTTTATCCGTAGCCCTTATCTTCCCCCTTTTGACATTAACAAAAATATTCTTAAATGAAACTTTTATTGAATGAAGGGAAATACGGAGTATGCTATGGAAGCATAAAAAAAGGACATAAAAGAAATGAATAATGAAAATAAAGGAGATAAGAAATTATAGGTTTAATGGCCTAGCCTTCGTCTTCGTCTTCTTTCCTCATCCTCTGCATTGTCGTCTTTGACAGCCATTGGGTCTCCTTCAAGTTCCTCATCAAGCTCGTCATCATCTGGGGAGCTTGAGAGGGTGTAAGACTCGTTGGTATCGTAGCCAGCATAGTCTTGGCCAAGGAAGGTGGATTGGTGTTGCGGGGGCACGTAGTTGACGTGGTCAAAGTAGGCTTGCATGGCATCGCCTCGTCATTGGACCGCTGCGTCAATCTGCTCAATGGTGCTCCCCATTCCTTCAACAGTGAGGCTCAAGCGGTTGATGGAGTCAGTGATGGAGGAAAGGGTGGCACGACTGGGGCTGTAGATTGGTGTGTGGCAGGGGCGCCGGTCTCCGACCTTTTCTTAAAGGTTTGGTCATGGATGGTCCAAAGCTTCGTGGCCCGAGTGAGAGGCCCATGGGAGACGGCGACTTGGGCCCACTCAAGGATCTCCATGATTAAGAAGGCATAGGGTAGAATTCGGTCGTTGGTGATGGTGGCGGCGTCGGCCATGTACAACATCACGAGCTTTGCCCAATTGATTGGTGCCATGTGCATGATGGTGTGGATGACCTTGAGATCCTTGCTGAATATTGTGGTATGGGTGCCATGCCTGGACTTGAGGATCCGGGTGATTATGTAGATCAGTAGTCGACTTTCCGGAGTCGCCGAGTGAATGGTGGGATGAACAGTGGGATGACGAACAAGTTCGGTGATGCCTAACGCCTCGATGACCAACCCTTTGTTGTTGATCACCTATTCTTCTCCGCCATAATTGGAGATGCCAAAACCTTGATAGGGCAGCCTGACAATGCACCCAACCCTCTCCATGGTGAGATCGATCATTGTGTTCTTGAATCCTTGTGTAGAGAACGTCACCTTCATGCCGAAGGTTTGAGTAGAAGGCCCGAACCAGTGCTGGGTTGATGTCCTTCCAGGACTTAAAGTCAAACGACCAAAGTCCAGATTGGTGGAGCTGAGCATCAAGCGTGTCATAGCCCTTTTGCTCTGGGTAACTCTCCGGGAGGATTCGTGGAGGTGCCCACTGCCCGCTTGGCAAAGTGCATGACGAACCGGGTAAGCTCCCCCTCGCTGTTGAACCACTGGAACGACCCGTCCAAGTAGGCCTAGCTGGTTTTAGCCAGAGTCTTGCTCTTGGATTTGCCGGTAGCCTCTGCCTTGGACTTGTTTTTCCCCATTTTTTGAAGAGATGTGCCTATATGATAAGGAAAAATGAGAGTGTATGAGTAGAAATGGTAAATGAGGGTGAATGTATACATAGGAAAAAGGGTTAGAGAGCCGTTTGGAATTCAAAAAAGTGGTTGTTAGGGCATTAAATCTTGTCTCCAACGGTTATTTTTTTAAGACAACGCTAGAACACTGATGTTCAGTCTGCAACATCGATGTTCTGTTCTGAACATTTCTATTTTACGATAAATTTTAAAATTTGTAAAAACTAACATCGATGTTCACAACTAAACATCGATGTTTGAAAAGCATTATGCAAAGGAATGAAAACACATTACTCTTTGTAACATCGATGTTGGACATTCAACATCACTGTTAATAAAACTTTCTGGAATGTATTAAAGTGCATTGGCTGCCATTAAGATCGATGTCGCAAAGTCAACATCGTTGTTACTAAAAGTTTCTAGAATGGCGTGGTTCCTTGCAACATCGTTGTAGGCTTCCTAATAGCGATGTTGCAACAACGATGTTTGCTCAAAAACATCGTTGTTTGTGTGGTTCCCTTCGATTTTTACGATGTTTGCTTCGGGTACCTTCAAAAAGAGTTAAAAGAGCCTCCGACTCTCAAGTTAGTAAAAATTTAAGAAGATTTAAATGCTCAAAATACATCATTGTGGAGTCTAGAATTCCGAGTTTGCTCCAAATGTGAAAAAATGATTCTTTCTCTAAAGGTTTTGTAAAAATGTTAGCTATTTGATACTTTGTTCCAATGAACTCAATTTCGACATCACCTTTGAGAAGATGATCTCTTATGAAATGATTCCTAATATCGATGTGTTTCGTCTTTGAATGAAGAACATGGTTCTTAATCAAGCTTATGGTGTTATTATTATCACACAGAAGAGGGACACGATCGAAACTAAGGCCATGATCCACAAGTTGTTGCTTCATCCAAAGGATTTGAGCATAACATTTCCCAGCAGAAACGTATACCGCTTTGATTGTGGGCAACGCAACACTGATTTGCTTCTTACTAAACCATGAAACTAAGGAACTACCAAGCAAGTGGCACGTCCCACTCATACTTTTACGGTCTAACTTCCAACCGACAAAGTCCGAGTCAGAGTAGCCGACGAGAAGATAAGAAGAGCCTTTTGGATACCATAGTCAGACGTTATCCGTACCAACAAGGTATCTCATGATCCGTTTAATCGCTGTTAAGTGTGATTCTTTCGGACATGATTGATACCTAGCGCAAAGGCATACACTAAACGTAATATCCGACTGACTAGCGGTAAGATAGAGAAGAGATCCGATCATACCTTGATATTTTTTGACTTTTACCTCCTTATCTTTCTCGTTTTTGTCAAGATGGTCCGATGTGCTCATGGGTTTCGCCATAGCCTTGGCGTTTTCCATTTGAAAACGTTTCAATAATTCCTTGCAGTACTTGGATTGGCAAATGAAGGTTCGCTCTTTCATTTGCTTGACTTGTAAGCCCAAGAAAAATGTAAGCTCACCCATCATAGACATCTCAAATTCGTTCGTCATTAGCTATCTCCCATTCGACAAGAGCTGGCGCTAGAGCCAAATATTTGAATGGGAATCGAACACATCTTTTTGAGAGAGAGGAAATAATGTGCATGTGCTTGATCTAATTTATATAAAAGTTGAAGTAAAATTAAATTCAAAATGCTTGATCATTCATATATTAAAAAAGTTAAATTTATTTTTCATAAAGTGAGAATAATTAATTACACCAAGACTCGACTCTTGGGACCCATGCCTCTTATAAATTTCTGGATCCGCCACTCAACTTAGGGTGAAAATATATTATAGGCATTAATTACAAACAATTTGGTGCTCATTGTAACATAACTATAAGTAAGGAGCTAGCTAGCTAGGATGGATGTTTAGTCTTCGGGAGTCCATACTCGTCCTTCCTCAAAGGGCTTGCGATCTATACATATTTATATACATATGCTACGTGTATATATATATATATATATATATATATATATATATATATATATAAGCATCCCTAGTATATTCTATCTTAATCTTTGCTAGCAAGATAGTATTGCTTCTCAACGACTAGCAAATTAGTGTGTGCTGTACTAATAATAATACAAGTCCAGAAAAGGAAAGGAAAGAAATGGAGAGATATTTGAGCGTAGGGCCAGGTACCCCATTGACAAAGGTGGTGATCCCCTCGGTTCACCTGCTAGCCATGTACGCCCCTTTTTGTTTCAGTTGGGACGCCGTTGGGCTCTGGTTTGTGTTGTACATCCTCACCGGCCTGGGAATCACCCTCTCCTATCATAGGAACTTGTGTCACAAGAGTTTCAAACTTCCCAAGTGGCTCGAGTACATGTTTTCCTATTTGGGTGTTCAAGCTCTTCAGGTTTGAATTATATTAATTCATTCTAGCTACTTTAATCTCTCCATTATTGCCTACTACTGCACCTAATTAATATTTTCTCCGTCCCAAATTTAATTAAAAATTGGAATTTATGAGGCAAAGTTTCTCATCTTTTAAAATTATCTTTTTACAAATTGGAGTATCGATAAAAAAATAAAAATTACATCTTAAAAAAATACGTCAATAGTTTTACAAAATAAGAGGTGATAAGAATATTTTATTTTATTAAAAGAATCAATGAAAACTTACAAATAAATAAAAATTACCGAGTGGTGAAAAAAAATTGTAATCAAATCTGGAATGGAGGGGTATTACCTATGATGGCTATGGGTTGATTTTTAATTTTGAGGTGTTGTCTCCCACAACACTCGCCACCGCATGTGGATTTTGGTGGTAGTGATTAGTTGCATGGAAAGGCAGTCAGTGAAGTGGGTGATGGCTATAAGTTTAATCCTTGTGGCATGCTTGAAAAAGAAAAAAAATGGAGATAAATTATTACGGAGTATCATATTATATATTATATATTATTATTAATTTATTCTTAGTTTTATTACTTCTTATTATTATTATTATTATTATTATTATTATTATTATTACTCCCTCCGTCCCTAAATAAACTTCCGTTTTTGACTTTTTGAGGATTTAAGGGAGGAATATTTTTGTGTTGACTTTCCAAAAATATTCTTGATGTGGTGTGTAAAAGTAAGATGTGATATGTAGATTATTAGTAAAAAGGTATGATGTGATAGGTAGGGTATGAAAAAATAAGGGGTAAAAGAAGTTTTTTAAGAAAAAAGAGAAGTTTATTTGGGGACAAAAAAAAACGAAAGATGAAGTTTATTAAGGGACAGAGGGAGTATTATTATTATTATTATTATTATTATTATTATTATTATTATTATTATTATTATTATTATTATTATTATTATTATTATTATTATTATTATTATTATTATTATTATTGCCACCACTACTAGTGGGATGGGGTACTAAGAATATAAGTTAGAGGGATGACAGGAGAAATTCCAAGTTACTCCGACGACCTCGAATAATACCAGATATGAAGACATATGAGATTTTAGGGTTCTTTGTTCGGATAGAATATATGCTAATTTAGGAATAAGCGGTAGTCCTCTTTGAATGAAACATTTATTCAATGTTTTGTCTCCATAATACTCCCTCCCTCCTTAAATATTTGTCACGCTAAAATATCAAGTTTTTTCAATTCATTTTGTTTACATATTGGTATAGAAATAAAAAAATAAAATTTACATATCAAAAAACTACATGAAATGTTCTTCGAAATAAGAAGTGTCAAGAATATTTTATTTTAACAAATAACCAATGAAAACGTCGAAATAAATAAAAGTTCCCACGGCTTTTGAAAAAACAAATGTGGCAAATATTTAGGGAGGGAGGAAGTACTATACTCTCTCCATCTTAAAATGATATTCTCATTTACTATTTTTATTATCAAACTTAATTTTTTTCCCTATTTTTCATTTGTTATTTGATAAAATAAAATAGTCCTATCAGCTCTTTTATTGTAGAGCTTTTGATGTAATTTTTTAATATGTAATTTTTTATTACTAATTTCACACTTATAATAAAATAAATTGAATTGAAAATAATTTCAGTCAAACATCGTAGGCTGAATTGGGAAGATCATTTAAGGACGAATTGAAGGGAGTATCTCTTTAATAATATACCCATTTCGCCTTAAACAAAAAAAATACCCCTTCCTCTCCCAAAAACATTCCTTGAATTAAGCTATTTGTACCTCAAAAATTGTACCCAAAGGCATGTAGCAACATTTTGTGCTAATGTAATGCTATGATGATTTACAATAACACATACGTGCTAATGTAATTGTCTGTGTTTGTGCGACACAGACAATTATCGTCTGTGTTTGTCTGTGCAAAGCATGGGTGCACCCATGGTAGCACCCATGTGGTGGCACCCTAGCATTTTCCTTCTTATTATGGTGTCTCCCCGCCCACATACCTGCAGTGTTGTACTACGATGTCACTTTCTCTTAAGGATAAAGTTATTTGTACCCCAAGTTTTTGTACCCACTTTGTACCCCGCAGGTTTAAACTAACACGTTGTATTGGTGTAAAACTAATTTTTGTTAATGCAGCAACACTTTGTGTCCGTGTAATTTTTTTTTAACGCACCAACACTTGTGTCGGTGTAAACCATCAAAATGTTTGTGTATAACTGCGGTGTACAAATGTGGTACAATTTGTGGTGTAAGTGTAGCATGGCCCTTGTCTTAGAGTAATTTGCCTAAATAGAACTAAAACATAATGACTTTTTCAATATAGGACCATATGTTTTTATTTTTCAATGTAGGACCATTGGTCATTATCTATAAGTCATTATTCAACTAAATGTTCATCATCATTTGGACATTATTCTTCTCACTAATCATTATTAAATCCTATTTAAGGAATAAAAAAGTTTAAGTCTTACATTAGAAAATGACTTACTCCCTCCGTCCCTGAGTGTTTGTCCACTTTCATTTTTGCACACCATCCAATGCACTTTTTTAATCCATTTTATCTTTTACTTTGTATATTAAAAAATTATAAAAATTATATATTAATAATCTATATGTTAAGACGAATCAAACAAGATCACACATGACTATTTTTAGGCTTACACATTGAGAGAATTTGATGAGTCAAAGTACTTAGATAAACAGTTCCAAAAGTCAAAAGTGGACAAAGACTCAGGGACGGACCAAGTATGTTTTAGTCCTATTCAGAAAAAAAACTCTTAGACGAGATTCATCTTTTTTCTTTTTATACAGGGGGGCCCAATTGGTTGGGTGAGCACCCATAGACACCACCACAAGTACACTGATTCATTGAAAGATCCTCACAGCCCCAACGATGGTTTTTGGTTCAGTCACATGGGATGGATCTACGACACTAAAAACGCTGACGAAAGGGTACGTTACATCTATGTAAATGGCACTTAAACATATCAGTTTTTAATTTACTAAATAGAATCAGTCCTATTTACTCTAACGTTTGACAATGGAAAGTTCTAAAACGTCATGCTTTGAGAAAAATGATATACTCCGTATTACACAATTCACGTAGAATAAGACATTATTAAAAAGAATTTAAATAATAATTAAAATAATCAGTCATTATCCAAAACTTATTACTAATGAACATATTCGTAGAGTCATTCACATAATCAGTCATTATCCAACACTTCTTGCTAATAAGGACATATATGACAGATCATATAGAATTATATGTTATAAATGGAATAAAACATATTTTGTCATATTCAAAAAATATACTATCTTTTAATCTTATATGGAGCAAATATTTCCTTTTTAAAATTACTTCCTGCTTTTTTTCCTTCTTTTTTGGGTCGTCTTGACTTTTTTATTTGCCTTTCATGTACGGAGTATTAATAAAGCTTTATTCTCCTTTTGTTATTATTAAGAAATTATTTATTGGTATTTTTTTCACACTATTTTCCTTTTTAGATCCTCTTTAATTCTCTATACCACCTAGTAATTTTTTTCTTATAAAGAGTGACAAGTCAATATTAAAATAAAGAAAGATATCGTGACAAAAGGAATACTATTATTCTCAATAGTACTCCCTCCGTTTGGAAAAACAATTCCCATTTGGATTTGGGGCAAAAATAAGGAAGTGTTAAATTATAGTTGATTTCCAATTTTGCCCCTGATGTGATGGGTAAAAGTAAGATGTGATGGATAGATTATTAGAGAAAAAATATGATGTGATAGGTAGGGTATGGAAAAGTAAGGGTAAAAGTGGTTTTTTAATAGAAAAGGGAAGTGTTTTGTTGGAAGTGGAAAAAATGAAAGAGAAAGTGTTTTTGAGAACGGAGGGAGTACTTAACAATTAAATTCGATATCTTACTCAAAGTCAAAGTACGTACCATTTTCTTAAAAGCAGAGCTTAGGTATAGTACTCCTTTTATACGCACAATTCACACTTGACGTTATTCATTTTTTGAAGAAAAATAAGTGTTGAAGAAAAATAAGGAAAATAAGTGTTGAAGAAAAATTATTGGTGAAAAATGGAGTGACTAGATATATTGCCTTAAAATTAGGAAGGTAAAGGAAAATAAGTGAAGAGAAAAAATATGTGAAATTTGCACTAAATAGGACTAAAACATAATGACTTTCCTAATGTAGGACTTAAACTTTTTTATTCCCTAAATAGGACTTAATAATGACCTAGTGGAAAGAATAATGTCCTGTAATCATAAACATTTAGTTGAATAATGACTACTTGATAAGGACCAAAGGTCCTAGATTGGGAAATAAAAACATATGCTGCTATATTGGGAAAGTCATTATGTTTTACTTCTATTTAGGTAAATTTCTCAAAAAATATCAAATACTTCTATTTTTTCTTAAAATGGTAAATTTAAAAAATAAACAATTCTACATCCGTCCTACTAATTAGAAGGCAAAATAGACTTATTTTTGTTCCATCCTAAAATATCAACTACTTTCTTTTCAGAGTATTTATCCAGTAATTTTAATTTTCTAAATTAATATTGATACATTTTGAAAATTAATTAAATAAAATTTATACTTCGTATTAAATATTGATACAAGCGTAAATTAATAAGTTTCTTATTGTAAAATATTTTCAAAATATTATTAATTTTAATTAATATACAATAATGTAACTTTTATTTAATTATAAGAGGGAAACGGATCTTGATTGACTATATACAAAAAATTGAAACATGACAAATTCTCCCAAGGGAAGGTAGTCAACACCAAAATAGAGCATAATTTAATATTCCCTTACCAAAATTTCTAATTTTATTTTTTTTCCCTCAAATATTATCCAAATACAGGATTATTACTTGTGAAATGTTTTGTGCAGAGGAATAGGAAGCCATCAAATGTAGGGGACTTGGAGAGTCAGGCCTTCTATATCTTCATCCAAAAGACCTACATTCTCCACCCTATTCTACTTGGAGCTTTCCTGTATTCCTTGGGAGGATTTCCTTACATTGTTTGGGGCATGGTATAGATACATTTTTAATTATTCTTACATAATTTTATACTTCGTGTATATATATATATATATATATATATATATATATATATATATATATATATATATATATTATATATATAGTATATATGTATGTATATAGTATATATGTATGTATGTATGTATTGTTATTGATTTTATCTAATAACAGGGAGTAAGGATTGTATGGGGGTTCCATGTAACATTTCTTGTGAATTCTGCGTGTCACATTTGGGGAAGCCAAGCATGGAACACCAGCGACTTATCCAGAAACAATTGGTTTGTCTAATTAATTACTTTTTCAATTATTCTAGTATTTTTTTTACAATTAAATCATTTCACAATGCTCCCTAAGATTAAAGTATGTTTGAATGTTTCCCTAAATAGCACTTAAATTGATTTATTCCCTAAGTAGCACTTAATAATGTCCGTAATGTCCAGTACTGACAAATATTTACTTGAATATTGACTATTGCATAATGACTAAAAATGCTACATTGAAAAAAACACATTTGATGCTATTTAGGAAAATTCATCATCTTTTAGTGCTATTTAAGTAAATTCTTCTATTTTAATCATATGATAAAAGAAATTAAAAATAATTTCAGTCAAACAAACTAAATCCAAAGGAAGAAAATTAAACTTTTATAAAACTTGTAAACCAAAATAATCTAATAATCTACACATCACATCCTACTTTTACCCATCACATCAAGGGTATTTTTGGAAAGTCAACACAAAATTATCACTCCTTTAATTTCAACTTTAGTCAAAATGGGTAACACTTTATGGGACGGAGGGAGTATAAAACTTGTAAACCAAATGAGAATATTTTTATATATATGAGATGGAGTCATAAATGAAAGAAATGGGCGCGCAGGATGGTGGCGCTGGTGACATTCGGGGAAGGGTGGCACAACAACCACCACGCCTTTGAGTACTCGGCGAGGCATGGGCTGGAGTGGTGGCAGCTCGACACGGCTTGGTGCACTATTTGGGTCCTCCACAAATTAGGGCTGGCTACAAGTGTGAAGCTCCCCACAGATGCCCACAAGGCAAAGATGGCTTTCAATCATGATAATAATAATAAAATAAACGGCGGCGGCACCACATCGTCAATAATGTCTGCCTTCCCAGCTGCCATTCCTCCTCCTACTCTTCGTCCGCTCCTCAAATAGAGCGCTAATGGGAAAACTGTGTATACTTATTGCGTAGTTATTGTACGTGCTAGTTTTCTACATTAATGTCTCCCACTTTCCCAACTCCCCCCATTTGATTTTTTTTTTTATTATTACTTTTCACCCTACTAGCTCCTGCATGTGAACTCAAAATAAATGTCATTTGTCGTCTATCTGTACTGTTTTGTGTTGATCTATCCAATGGCAGATTAAATTATAATATAAGCTACTCTCATGCCCGATGCTCCCTACTCCCCTCTCTCAATTCCCACATCGTTAATAAAAAAAACTTTTTCTTGCACAACAACAAACTTGAACTTTTGATTGAATTGATTTTTTAAAATGGTATCGAAGCCTTCTTGACAGTGGTGGAACCAGAGAAGAATTCATGGAGTGCCACAAATTCATTCAGAAAATGAAAAAAAATCTCATACTAGTAACAACCCTAATAGACAAAGTGCAACAAACATACCTCTTATTTGTGCAAAGGAGTAAGATTTGTTTGGGGTCGTAGAACTTTTTTTCGATATACTAACTTTTGAAAGCGCTTCATAATGACTTCATCATCAATGCTCATAAAACTTTCTTTCTCAAAGTAGCCCAAGAGACAATCTTATTACATCTCATCTCCCAAAGGGTTGCGTTAATCAATCTTGACAATAAACCTGGACACGGTACCGGTATGGTACCATTACCGGCGATGGTACCGCCGGTACCCCCACCGTCACCGGCGACCGACCCGTTGCTCCGGTTCTGAGGAACCGGTACCGGCACAACTCCCCACGGTACCGGTTCCAGTGCCCATTTTTCGGTACCGACAATACCGGAACCGGTTCCGGTACCCATTTAATTTTTTTTCCTTTAATGCTTCGGCAGACCACCTGCAAAAAAGAAAGAA